TGTTTTTTTTTTACTTCTCTCACCTTTTAAATTAAGGATTTTAATAGATCATAGGCCTATGAGCCCTAATCAAACTGGAAGCCCTTTAATATGGTAAATTCCCTCTCTTTGAGTACATGGAGTTGTGTGGAAGGTACAAGATATGCAATCTATAATAATAAAAGCACAATATGCTAATTAGACCGGACAGCCAAACAACCTTCCAGACAAAGCCGCCCTGGCGGGAGCTGAGGCAAGGGCAGATTAGACCGGACAGCCAAACAACCTTCCGGACAAAGCCGCCCTGGCGGGAGCTGAGGCAGGAGCAGTTAGAGGCGATCAGGCAGGTAGGCAAGTGGTTAGGGGCGATCGGGCAGGCAGACAGAGGTGGTTAGGGACGATCAGTCAGGCAGGCGAGCAGTTAGGGGCGATCAGGCAGGCAAGCAAGTGGCTAGGGGTGATCAGGTAGGCAGGCGAGTGGTTAGAGGTGATCAGGCAGGCAGACAGAGTGGTTAGGGACGATTAGGCAGGCGAGCAGTTAGTGGCGACCAGGCAGGCAAGCGAGTGGTTAGGGGTGATCAGGCAAGCAGGCGAGTGGTTAGGGGTGATCAGGCAGGCAGGTGAGTAGTTTGGGGCAATCAGGCAGGCAGGCAGAGTGGTTAGGAGCCAGCGATCCCAGATTGCGAGAGGGATGTCCGACTGCCAATTTAGGCCCAATCCCACAGGGTTCCCTGCAAGATCGGGCTTAAACTGGCAGTTGGACATCCACCGAGGGGTCCCGGATTGCGAGAGGGTGCAGGTCAGGCTGAGGGCCTTCCCCACCCCCACATGCACGAATTTCATGCACTGAGCCTCTAGTAATTGAAGAAGAAAGTGAATGACATAGATTGAGTTTAGCTTTTAAGTTGCTTTTATGATATTCAGGCCTGAGCCCTTCAAAGAGAATGGAATGGTGATGAAATTCATTCATTTACTCAAAACATTGAGTGCTTACTTTGTTCTAGTCATTGTGCTCGCTATAGGGACTACAGCAGTGGACAAAACAAGCGTGGTTCTGATCCTCAAAGAAATCTGGTGGGAAAGACACTACATAAAAAATTACCAGAAATAAGTTCTATAAAGGAAAAGTTTAGCAGAATTCCAGATTTTCTACAAGTCTCTAGAATGAACACACAGAACTTGAAGATAACATAAATTTTGATTAGATACTAAGTTGTGTGAGATTTTATTTTACTTTTAATTCTTATGGCCCCATTTATTTACCAAGAAATGGAGATTAAACCGACTGTGACTATGGAGCTGTGAATCTCCAGCTCTTAGACCAATTTTACGTTTGCTCGCTCATACAGAATTTAGATTTAAGGTCCCACTTTTGAGTGCAGTTGTTTTTGTTTGGTGTGAATAGTAAAAACTCCCAAGGGGATACTTTGCATATTAGGCTTTTATATAGAGATATTTTATTTACTTGTTTTTAATTGATTTTATTGGGGTGACATTGATTAATAAAATTATATAGGTTTCAGGTGTACAATTCCATAATACATCATCAGTGTAGAGTTCTTTTATTTTAAGTTACAAAACTTCAAGATTTTTCAGTGAACTAATTTTGCTAAATTGTCTGTAAAACCTATTTTATAGACTGTTCCACAGATATAAAATATTGTTGTTAAATAGCATGAAGCTCTGAAGACATAAGAATCTGTTTTGTTACCAGAATTTAGTAAATCTCCCGTTTGCAACAGGAAGAAACAAAGGAGGCCTAGCTTTCATGATTATATCATATTCCTTTGTGAAGTAATTTATATTTTTAAAGTGCTGTTAGTTGTCAGACATTCCTCTGATTACTGATTTCTATTAACTGATAATGTTCTCTGTCTTTCATTGCTCTTAGGTGTGCTGAGTTGCCATACAATTGTCAAGTTGCAGTCTTTAGACATCACTGTGCTGTTTCTGAGAGGAATAGATTTATGTGCTTATTTTTAAAGATTTAGACAGCACTTGATACTAACCGAGCTATCTATATCCTAGCCTTGTGTCAGAGGCTTGTGATGTGTTGTGATAGCTGGGTTTAAGAAGTGCAATATTAAAACAAAAGCCGTGAGTCTTTTAGCCCAGTGTGTAAAGACACACTCTGAGTTATAACTCAGTGGCACAACTGGATAATGGTATAGCTAGTCAAGAAATTGTGGCTTTGGTGACTATTGAAACACCAATACATTATCTTATTTACTTGGACAGAGAAAGTACATTGTCCGGGAGTTAACAAATTTCCTTAATTCTAAGACATACTATTTTCCCGCTACATCATTATGTTTCTGTCATTGAGATGCCTTTAATAATGAATGTATATATTTAATTTGGAGGACCTTTCACTCCCCCTCACCCTCTAAATATCTAGATCTCTGGTATGTCTTTGGCACCTTAGAAACATAGAAATTTGGTCAGTGGTATAGTAGAACCCAAGATCTGGTGGTCTTATATACTGTTTCCTTGAGACTATCCAATGAGCCCTGTGTTTAGCAAATTTAAGTTTGTGAGGACATAATCTGGGTGCATATAAATATGAATGAGAAATGCAGTGAGATTCAACCTGCGCAGATAGATATTACCTAGAAAGAATAAGATGTTGAAATTTCAGAACTCTCTCAATTTTAAAACAATGTCTTATATTTAATCCAAGTTTTAAAACTTGAGTCTAGGCCAGCGGTTCTCAACCTGTGGGTCACGACCCCTTTGGGGATCGAACGACCCTTTCACAGGGGTCGCCTAAGACCAGAGGTCCTCAAACTACAGCCCGAGGGCCACATGCAAATACAAATATTGTATTTGTTCCCGTTTTGTTTTTTTACTTCAAAATAAGATATGTGGAGTGTGCATAGGAATTTGTTCATAGTTTTTTCTTAAACTATAGTCCGGCCCTCCAATGATCTGAGGGGGTCGAACAACCCTTTCACAGGGGTCGCCTAAGACCATTGGAAAACACATATATAATTACATATTGTTTTTGTGATGAATCACTATGCTTTAATTATGTTCAATTTGTAACAATGAAATTGGGGGTCACCACAACATGGGGAACTGTATTAAAGGGTCGTGGCATTAGGAAGGTTGAGAACCACTGGCCTAGGCAGACCTGGGGATGATCGTCTTATTGAGCTGTCAGGCTGCTCGATCTTGATGCTGCCTAGCAGTATAGTCTGGGTCTGGAACAAGCCTTGCCAATAGCAGATGGTCACTGGACAGGGTTTCCCAGCAGTGACCCACGTACCTATACTCGCTTGAACTAATTTTGAACCTTAAGGCTAAGCTTTAAAGAAACTGGGTAAGTGATTGTTTAAAGAAAAATGAAGAGTGTGGCCCATCGTTGTTTATTCATTAAAATGTTCCTTGCCATGTAGTACATTTTCTGATGCAGGTAGAGTGGAGAAAATATATAATATGGTTAAAAGAGCTTAGACTCTGAAGTCAGACAGATTCTCTGTCTCTCTGAATTTCTAATTCAGCTTTTAAATATCTGGCTGTGTGAACTTGAATGTGTTAATTTTTTTATGCCTCAGTTTTGTCATTTATAAAAATAGGAATAATAGTATGTGCCCACCACATAGAGTGGTTTTGAGGGTGAAATAACAGCATAGAACACATACCACAGTGTGTGGCACATAAATACCCAACGGTTGTTACTGTTATCAGTGCATGAGGTATATTTCTGGTCTTGTAAGGGGAACACTAAAGCATAAGGGAGAATAGTAGCCCACTGTGAGTTCAATGACATAGCCAGGAATGAAATATAAACCTCTTGATTCCTAGCCTGGAACCATACTAACTTGACTGTGCTTCTCTACTCAGCTTTGTGCTGTCTTCTCTCAGGGATTTTAGAAGGAGTGCCATGTGAAATGTGAACTAGAGCTTAGTGAAATCTTGAAAGGCTTATTCTTTAAAATGGTCAAATTGTAGACTTTTAAAACTGGAAGAAGTGTTAGTAAAAATTTATCAAGAGTCCTTTATCTTTGACAGCTCAGTTTACAACCAGGCTGTGTCAGGGTTTACTAACCCAAGATTAAAAGAAAAATAAGGACACTGTTGTGAGTTCTTCATAAAGCTCAATTCAGCTCAGAGTATTCCAAAAGTGCTTTGGGGCTCTGATAGCATGATTCAAATATAAATAGGTATTTATAACCCCTTTCTTTCCTAACCAGTTGATAATCTTCCTTTGGTTATGTTTCTGAAAAGCAGTCATTACTTTATAAACATGCTTTGTGTTCTTATTTCTTGCTTGACCTAAAGTTACTATCCGTTGAAATCTTAAATTTCCAATGGACAGAGACAACCCCTTTTGCAGGTCACTTATACATAATAGAATTAGTAGGAAAACTTCTTTTCATATCAACACTAAACATTTGACCACTACATTTGGGGATATTAAATGTCATCTATCCCTCAACATGTTAGTACGTTTTCCTGAGCTCTTTATCTTAAGAATAATAGGAAATAAATTTTTTTCACTGTGGCAAGGAATTTTTCTATTCAAGATCCTCTACTTATTTGATAAGAAGAATTTTTGCTTAACCCTGTTGAGACTATTTAAGTAACATTTAATTTAATGTTTATTTAGAAACTGATTATTGATGAGAAGAAATATTACTTATTTGGGAGAAACCCTGATCTGTGTGACTTTACCATTGACCACCAGTCTTGCTCTCGGGTCCACGCTGCCTTGGTCTACCACAAGCATCTGAAGAGAGTTTTTCTAATAGATCTCAATAGTAGTAAGTAACTCACATCCCATTCTGTCTCACACATTTCTTTTGGGCAATGTGAAAGTTCTCTTTAAGTTCTTCAGTTTCAAAATTGTGTTTTATTATTCACCAAGGAAGAAGTTTACATTTGATTTTTAAATCAACTCTTCTTGACTCCTGTGATATCGCCTATTTTCCTGAATAATTGATGACTGGAGAGAGAAGAAGGTTTTGGGGAGGACTGTCCTGGAGGAGGCACTAGGTAGATATAGAGAACACCATCAACAAAAACACTCAGGAGCTAGGGACTATGGGTAGCTAAGTGTTTACAGGACCATGATAAATTGTGGTCTAATTTAGGCAGAAGCTGTGGTAGCTCCATTAATATAATAGAGTAGTTGTACAAGACATTAACAACAATACTTGTTTTGAACAATATTTAATTTTTTATTAAAGGTTCTTTATCCCAGCTACATTCTGCTTTGACTAAGTAATAATATAAATTTTAATTTCATGAATATACTCCAACTAATAAGATTTTCAACTTTGCCAAAGATAATCCCAGAAATGCAGTTGAGACTTAACTACATGGAGCCTTGAAGTTTTTCACTTTTCCCATATATAAATACAATGTAAAATATAAAGGATCCTGCTTCCTGGGCTGACCATGTTCTCCTTCCCCACTTTTATAACACAGACCCCACCCCAGTCTGCTGATAGAATGGTTTTGGAGAGCCTTGTCTCACAAGTACTTACTTGCAAATTTATCTCATCTTTTCTGTCCATTTTATAACATGCAGAAAAATATGCAGACTCAGCAGTAGGATTTTGGCTTGCCTTGGTATTGATATTGCACCTGTTTCAGCCAACCTTTCCTGTTCTGGGGAAAACCCAGCATAACTGCCACCAGGGCCTGTATTCCTTAGACTTGGGGCTGGAGAGGTCAGACCACAGCGATGCCTGTCTCCTGCCTTGGGTGGCATGGTTATTGCTGGGTTGGAGCCATTCCTGCTGGACCCAGAATGGAGCCAAGCCTGTCTGGCAGCAGAGAGCAAGCAGTGGTATTTGTTATCTGGGTTAACAGCAGGTCTGAAGATGTGTAAGAATTCCACTGAAGAGATTCAAGACCCAGTGAAGGAGTTTTCCTTTTCATTGTGACTCATGACAAGGGATGCAAAGTGGACTCAGTGTCATTTTTATTTTAAAAAGCAGAACTGATAATGCTGGGAGGAGCTGCTCTCCTACAACTCAGGTTGGTTTTTTCTCTTACATTTTTGATTTGGTTATTCCCAGCACACGGCACTTTCTTGGGTCACATTCGGTTGGAACCTCACAAGCCTCAGCAAATTCCCATCGATTCCACAGTCTCATTTGGCGCATCCACAAGGGCATACACTCTACGTGAGAAGCCTCAGACATTGCCATCGGCTGTGAAAGGAGATGAGAAGATGGGTGGAGAGGATGATGAACTCAAGGGCTTACTGGGGCTTCCAGAGGAGGAAACCGAACTTGATGTAATTCCACGTCTGTCATTATTTTGTCTTTTGGGACTCTAGTTTTTCCATTATGTAGCTGTCTGTGTAGCTTGAAATGCCAAAGACTTAGCAGCAGGAGGTTTTCTTGAGCCCAGTGATGGGCCTTTGCCACTTTGTCAGTTATAAGGTGGTCAACTGTGACACACTTTGGAGAGCTGCATTGTGTGATTTGGTTATGTATGACCAGGGGTAACAAGGAAGCTGGTCTCTTGCCAATAGACCCTCATGGTTGTCTGTGCACCTTCACTGGATGTTAGAAGCCAAGGCTGGGAGTTAAATTTTTCTAGAGCTGCACTATCAAATGCGGTGGCTATTAACCACATTTCAAATACTCAGTGGTCACATGTGGCTAGTGACTTCCATGTTGAATGGCACAAATAGAGAACATTTTCATCATTCAGAAAGTTTGATTGGACAGCACTGACTTAGACTGAAGTTTTCATTCATTTACATTGCTTTCTTGATATTGTCCAAATAGCCCAGGGATCTTCTGAATAGAACTAGACTGCTTTTGTTCTTATGGGCCTGGCTGCCCTGAAGGCTATGAATTTTACAATATTTTACTTAAGTGCTAAAGTTTCCCTTTTCTAGAGGCTGACCCCAATATGTGAAGTGGCCGTCATCCTTTACATGTCAATCACTGCGCTGGTGTGACTGGTCTATTCAGGTAGACCATCTGTAAGCATGTCCTTAACCACCCACATGCACTTACTATTCTAGTACACTAAAGCAGTATCCCAGCCCTTAGGAAGAAAAGCACCATGGAAATCTAAAATTTAGAAGTTATTTTGTTCTAAAGAAGTAGCCTCCTAGCCAGAGGCCTTGATGGTGGTCACTCTTACCCATTTCTCCTCCAGTCTTCTTCCATGCTTTCCTGTATTTTAAATTAATATGTGAGGTCCTCTGGGGGTCTTTATTCTCAAGACATTTTGAATATCTCAAACCGCAATGCAGTTTGGAATAAGTCCAGAGGATTGGGAAGAGGCAGGCAGCAGTGCTGAGGCCAAGTTAATCATTGAGATGGATGGATGGTTATGAATAGAAATGGGGCCATACACAGGAATGGGGAGTGACAAAATATTAATGCCAAGTGTAAGTGCACTGACAGTGTCCTTATGAGTTCTCAAAGAGAGTTACTGCTCATCTCTGTTTTGTTACTTTAGAACAATTCTTGGAGTTCCTTCCAGTTACATTCTTTTAATTCTCAGCATAAAGACATGATAACCTTTCTAAAAAACAAGCAAATCTCATCTGGCCAGTGTGGCTCAGTGGTTGAGCATCAACCTATGATCCAGGAGGTCACAGTTCCATTTCTGGTCAGAGCACATGCCCAGGTTGTGGGCTTGATCCCCAGTGTGGAGCATGCAGGAGGCAGCCAATCAATGATTCTCTCTCATCATGTTCTATCTCTCTCTCCCTTTCCCTTCCTCTTTGAAATCAATAAAAAACAACAAAACCTCAAAGATGTTTGTACAGATGACCTGTTCTCAGCTCAAGGCCCTCACCTTTTGAATACCACTGCCCCACTAGTCAATGAGGGGCACATTCTGTCAAAGGTGACTTATAAATATTAGCAGTCTGGGAATAGTAATGAGTTCTTCCTGAATACAGAGGAGAATCTTGTCTGCCTGGGGAAGTCAAGGTTAGCCCCGAATGCCTTTCTGCCCGTCATTTAGTAAGATAGTCTGCTTCACTTTTCTGTATACTGACTTGTCTTTTCCTGTGTGAACCCTGGCTTAGAACCTGACAGAGTTCAACACTGCCCACAACAAGCGGATTTCCACCCTCACCATTGAGGAGGGGAATCTGGATATTCAGAGACCAAAGAGGAAGAGGAAGAATTCACGGGTGACTTTCAGTGAGGATGATGAGATCATCAACCCAGGTGAGGTGTCTTTCTAGTTTCTTCTGATGAAAAAGCTGTGGTCTCAGAGAGTAGTGCACACAACCTATAGGTCAGTTGTAATGTTTCCAAGGTTTAGGATAACAGGTGCTATTTTAAGGAGAGATAGTTTTTACAGTTCATTGGTGGAGTGCTCTCAACAACTCAGGCATTATCCATTGGCACTGTGGAAGAAATAGCTAACAGGAGAGTCCATTTAGTTCAGTATACAGAGCAAAGCGGTAATTCTTGCTGACCCAGTGTGTCTATGTCTTAGTGGAGGTTTAAGTTAAGCATAAGTGTTTTCTGTCTTGACCTCAAAGCAGAACGTTACTGTCTTTGTGGGGTTCTGTGTACTAGTATGAGTGGTAACTATAAGATTGGAGAACCTTCTGCTGCTACTGTTAACTGCATTGAAGACTTGCCTCTCTGAAAGGAAGTAATTTATAGTTTGAATGGAAATGTCAGTAAGGTAAGAGCATTGTATTATGGGAAGGCCACTAACTTTACCAATTTGTTCCATCATTCAACATTTATTTATTGGGCCTATGTTGTATCTTAAGTACTCTGGTGGATGGATGACATAGAGCTGGGAGGTATAGTTATACAGTGAAGATGGAATTGGGATTTTAAAAAACCTTGTTTGAAAATAAATCTCAAAAAATAGAAGAAACAAGGATCCCAGACTAGCAAGTTGCCTTTAATTTCCAAAGTAAAATGCAGTGAGAATCACTTTCAAGTCCTGCATTTAGGTTCAAAATATCAATTATTTAAATGGAGATGGTCTGCTCCAGCATGAAAAAAAAAAGATCAAAGGATTTTAGTTAATTGAAAATGCAGTTTTATGTGGACCCAAGGGTCCCAGGTTTGATTAAGGTCAAGGGTACATACCTCTGTTGCAGGTCCTCCCCGGCCGGGGCCCTGGTCAGGGCTCATGCAGGAGACAACCAATCAATGTGTTTCTCTCACATCAATATTTCTCTCTGTCTTTCCCCCTCTCTTCTACTCTCTCTAAAAACCAATGGAAAAATATCCTTGGGTGAGGATAAAAAAAAAGAAAAAGAAAGAAAGAAAATGTAGTTTTAGTCATTAGGGGTATGTGAAAACTAATCAAGTGCAGTGTAAGATTGCATTAATAGGAGAATTGGGGACAGTAACCCCACTGGTCTGTGTTCTGAGCATAACTCATCCATATATGTTACTAAATACAAGCATGGCCCTAACCATCAAATGTGATGTAGTCCTGGGGGAGGAGGAGATTCATATATACAGAAAACGGTGCCCTGCATGCTGGGAATGTAGGGAACCATGCAGGAGGGAGAGCAGATTGGAGGGGGCATGGCCACTGTGGTCAGGTATTTGCAAGCAACAGTGAATCCTTATATTTAGAAGAATTAAAAGGATTCCTCTGAAAGAGATTGAGGCATTCATTCTAGTGACAAGTTTACTTTCTGATGGTGTGTGAAGTGGAAAGGATTACTCCTAGAAGTAGTGAATGCCCGAGGGAAATTTTTAGGCAGGGGCTGGATAACCAATCTAGGAAACTTATTTCTGGGCCCTGGAACCTCTTGAGTAAGTTTCTAGAGGTTGAGCCTAAAAATTTGTAGCTTCAAACAAGCTCTTATTGTGCTGATGAACAGCCAATAACTTGGGAATTACTGGACTAGACACTAAGTCTCTCTCAGGACTCAGTGTCTGATCTGCTTCTGCTTTGTTTCTCTCCTGGAAAATTATTGCCCCAGAGCTTTATTAAGGTGCTGTATTCAGGCAGAGTATAGCATAGTGGTCAGAGGGCCTGGGTTTGAAATCCACCTCTCCTCTTAGTAGTTGTATGACCTTGGCCAAGTGACTTAAAAGACGACTGGCCTCACAGGATTGATGAGGAGAATAAATGATTAACATTTGTAAAAGCACTTCATATCAGTACTCGGGGTTTGTAAGCTCTTGATAAATGTTAGCCATTATCCCCATCATTATCTGCCACAACTTTTGCCTTCTACCTATGCACCTTTCCTATACCAGAAGTAGACTTCGTAAGGAATCTGTTGGTAGATTGCTTACCAACAGAAAACAGTGCTCTCCTAGAACACTGAGCAGGAGCAGGGCTCTCCTAGAACATGCGTATTATTCTCTACGACTAGAATGAGGAAAGGAGAAGAGGGCCTGACCATCAGCCAACACAGGACAGGGTCCCCCAGAGAGGCTTAGTTCCTCCCCTCTACAGGCCTAGTGCACGCATGGGGTGCATCCCCCAATAGCCACTCCTGTCAGGCTCCAGTTGCTTGTGCGCCTCGTTGAGCTTTTCTTGCTGAAGGGATGATTGGAACAGGGCTCCTGTGGGGGTGAGGAAAGATAAGGTCGCCTTTTTTAGAGACCTTGTCTCCTTCCTGAGTCTGGTTATCTTTCCTCTTTCTTCCATGTAGAAGCCATTTGTTCGAACAGGTCAGCCTGCCTGTTTCCATACACACAGCCTTCAGCGAGAAAGCTGCTCATCCTGGGTGGCCCAGCGCAGCCATCCTCTCTGTGCTACAGACAGTTCTGCTACCTGTCCTGAAGCACCTCCAGTGTGCTGTAGCCAATCTGGCTTTACGGCTGTGAACTCTTTAAAGGCAGGACAGTATCTTGCTCTTATTTCCATGTCTGATGTCTAATAAATGAGGCACAAGAGAGTGGACTGACTGCAAACATGTCCCTTACTTGGTCTTATCTCTTCCTCCCTGCAGAGTGAATGAAGCTAGAAGTTTGTAGGGTATAATAATGTGTGTAAGCTGTGAAAAGGGTGCTGCTCTCCCACTCTGCCTGGACGAGGGCTTCAGATCCTTTAGTAAAAGTC